TTACATATTTTTACCAGAGCTCATATTGGGTCCTGTCACTGGATCTAACTAACGTCTTTAACCATGTGACACACGGCACAGTGGATAAAGGCGTGCCATGTGTCCTTGAGGACATATGGCACAGTGGATAAAGGCGTTAGTTAGATCCACTAACAGGACCTAAATAGTGTGAGTTCAATACCTGGTTGGCAAAGTTTTATGGCAGAACAAATTACCCAATTCTGTACGATCATTGAGACTCGTGTATTTGATTAGAGAAGTAGAAATTAATCTTGACCTCTTCTACTTAAAGAAGCTGATCATGTTCAGAGTGATTTCTATACGAAAGGTTTATCAATTAATGTTGGTGATGACGATTTTAGTGTGTCATGTGTAATCAAAGACTCTATGAAAGAGCTTAAGTCCAAGAAATTGATCTCTGGCTTAGAAAGTGCAGATTTCATGCTTTATGAGTCCAAGGTCAAAGATTAGACGGCACCCAAACAAAATGCAAGATGGTTTCAAAATCAACAAGTCAGCTTCAGATACGGCAAACATATTCAACGAAGTTCTCGATGTCGATAGAAATATCCGTATTAAACCAGTAAGTTCACGACATTAAAATTGCAATAACTTTAATTCTAGACAAGATATTGGGCTGATTTTTTGAATTGTGTTCTATCGAAATAAAGTGTCACTACTTGGTTTAAACCAGACTTTGGAAAACAGAGCTGTTGTCACTTAACAACCACTTTCTGATTCTGACTGGTATTGCATAAATTGAACAAGATGGTATTTGAAAACGCTGTATCGTTGGCATGCAGACAAGGAAAGTGTTGCGAAGACTGGTTTTTGCGATCACTTTGACAAATCCAAATGTAAGGCGAGGGACTTCATCAAACAAAAAGCTGATCTGCGCTAAGATTAACAATACTTGGGGTAATAAAACGTTTTGTCGGGAAACAAGGTACTCAGTTTTATTCTGGGACTTAATTGCTTTATCGGCAAACGTTAAGTATCACGACAAAAAACACAAAGAATCAATATTAAAACTGCACAGATGAGCATTATTCTCCGGATAGTTTGATGTAACAGAAAGATTGACGTTAAATTTGACCAGCACTGCAAGGAAACAGTGCATAACATCGGCAACAAATTGCCATAGGCTTTGCTGAATCAAACCTCACATGAGACCATACAGTATAACGCCGAATTGACTGAAATGAATGGTTTGGTTTGGTTTGGTTTGGTTTGGTTTACGTCATATCAACCTCAATGGGTCATTTAATGCGACAACGTTTTTTTCCTAATAATATTTTTGTTTTGACAAAAACCTATGTCTGTTAATACTTTTTTTCCTCAAAAACGTATAGCTGGTAATATTATTTTTTTCAAAAAACGTAAAAGATGTTAGCTAGGTATTGAACTCAGATTCTTTGGGTCCTGTCACTAACTAACGCCTTTATTCACTGTGCCATGTGCCCTTGCCAAGGCAGTGGAGAACTTTCAGAGGGAAATTAACAGGAGATAACTGATAACTGACAACCATCAAACATGGCACGTGGAACGAGAACAGTCTACCCCAGTGAGCGAAATAAAGGGTTCAGTACGACATTCCAACCACCTGAAGAAGACCGGAGCGTACAACGGCCGAAACATTGTTATAAATATGGAAACAAAGATGAGGACAAGAGTCCAAATAATGTAAATAGTGTACATAATACCTCATCTCAGAAATATAGACAGATACTGAAAGGCCAAAATGTTGTGATAAATATGGCAACAAAGATGAGGACAATAGTCCGAATAATGTAAATAGTGTACATAATACCTCATCTCAGAAATATAGATAGATACTGAAAGGCCAAAATGTTGTGATAAATATGGCAACAAAGATGAGGACAATAGTCCGAATAATGTAAATAGTGTACATAATACCTCATCTCAGAAATATAGACAGATACTGAAGGGGTGAAACGTTGTGATAAATATGGCAACAAAGATGAGGACAATAGTCCGAATAATGTAAATAGTGTACATAATACCTCATCTCAGAAATATAGATAGATACTGAAAGGCCAAAATGTTGTGATAAATATGGCAACAAAGATGAGGACAATAGTCCGAATAATGTAAATAGTGTACATAATACCTCATCTCAGAAATATAGACAGATACTGACCAAAGATGAAACGTTGTGATAAATATGGCAACAAAGATGAGGACAATAGTCCGAATAATGTAAATAGTGTACATAATACCTCATCTCAGAAATATAGACAGATACTGAAGGGCTGAAACGTTGTGATAAATATGGCAACAAAGATGAGGACAATAGTCCGAATAATGTAAATAGTGTACATAATACCTCATCTCAGAAATATAGACAGATACTGAAGGGCTGAAACGTTGTGATAAATATGGCAACAAAGATGAGGACAATAGTCGAATAATGTAAATAGTGTACATAATACCTCATCTCAGAAATATAGACAGATACTGAAGGGCTGAAACGTTGTGATAAATATGGCAACAAAGATGAGGACAATAGTCCGAATAATGTAAATAGTGTACATAATACCTCATCTCAGAAATATAGACAGATACTGAAAGGCCAAAATGTTGTGATAAATATGGCAACAAAGATGAGGACAATAGTCCGAATAATGTAAATAGTGTACATAATACCTCATCTCAGAAATATAGATAGATACTGAAAGGCCAAAATGTTGTGATAAATATGGCAACAAAGATGAGGACAATAGTCCGAATAATGTAAATAGTGTACATAATACCTCATCTCAGAAATATAGATAGATACTGAAAGGCCAAAATGTTGTGATAAATATGGCAACAAAGATGAGGACAATAGTCCGAATAATGTAAATTTTGTACATAATACCTCATCTCAGAAATATAGACAGATACTGAAAGGTTTGAAATGTTGTGATAAATATGGCAACAAAGATGAGGACAATAGTCCGAATAATGTAAATAGTGTACATAATACCTCATCTCAGAAATATAGACAGATACTGAAAGGCCAAAATGTTGTGATAAATATGGCAACAAAGATGAGGACAATAGTCCGAATAATGTAAATAGTGTACATAATACCTCATCTCAGAAATATAGACAGATACTGAAAGGCCGAAACGTTGTGATAAATATGGCAACAAAGATGAGGACAATAGTCCGAATAATGTAAATAGTGTACATAATACTTCATCTCAGAAATATAGACAGATACTGAAGGGCTGAAACGTTGTGATAAATATGGCAACAAAGATGAGGACAATAGTCCGAATAATGTAAATAGTGTACATAATACCTCATCTCAGAAATATAGACAGATACTGAAAGGCCAAAACGTTGTGATAAATATGGCAACAAAGATGAGGACAATAGTCCGAATAATGTAAATAGTGTACATAATACCTCGTCTCAGAAATATAGACAGATACTGAAAGGCCAAAATGTTGTGATAAATATGGCAACAAAGATGAGGACAATAGTCCAAATAATGTAAATAGTGTACATAATACCTCATCTCAGAAATATAGATAGATACTGAAAGGCCAAAATGTTGTGATAAATATGGCAACAAAGATGAGGACAAATAGTCCGAATAATGTAAATAGTGTACATAATACCTCATCTCAGAAATATAGACAGATACTGAAAGGCCGAAACGTTGTGATAAATATGGCGACAAAGATGAGGACAATAGTCCGAATAATGTAAATAGTGTACATAATACCTCATCTCAGAAATATAGACAGATACTGAAGGGCCGAAACGTTGTAATAAATATGGCGACAAAGATGAGGACAATAGTCCGAATAATGTAAATGGTGTACATAATACCTCATCTCAGAAATATAGACAGATACTGAAAGGCCGAAACGTTGTGATAAATATGGCAACAAAGATGAGGACAATAGTCCGAATAATGTAAATAGTGTACATAATACCTCATCTCAGAAATATAGACAGATACTGAAAGGCCGAAACGTTGTGATAAATATGGCAACAAAGATGAGGACAATAGTCCGAATAATGTAAATAGTGTACATAATACCTCATCTCAGAAATATAGACAGATACTGAAAGGCCAAAATGTTGTGATAAATATGGCAACAAAGATGAGGACAATAGTCCGAATAATGTAAATAGTGTACATAATACCTCATCTCAGAAATATAGACAGATACTGAAAGGCCGAAATGTTGTGATAAATATGGCAACAAAGATGAGGACAATAGTCCGAATAATGTAAATAGTGTACATAATACCTCATCTCAGAAATATAGACAGATACTGAAAGGCCGAGACGTTGTGATAAATATGGCAACAAAGATGAGGGACAATAGTCCGAATAATGTAAATAGTGTACATAATACCTCATCTCAGAAATATAGACAGATACTGAAAGGCATAAAATGTTTGTGATAAATATGGCAACAAAGATGAGGACAATAGTCCGAATAATGTAAATAGTGTACATAATACTTCATCTCAGAAATATAGACAGATACTGAAGGGCTGAAACGTTGTGATAAATATGGCAACAAAGATGAGGACAATAGTCCGAATAATGTAAATAGTGTACATAATACTTCATATATAAAGAAATTCCAATGGGCATTATTACGTGAAAGTTTTTGAATCTCTATACATTAAGTCCTACCAGCCATCCCTCTGTAAGCAGAATGAGTGATTGATGGCTTGAAATATAGACAAATAAAAGTGAGTCTTCTTTTTTTTTTCAATTGTCGGATTTCATTGAAATAGAGTTAAATCAGAGACATAACGAATAAAAGGAATATAAAAATTCTTGAAAACTGTTAATCTTGCCACACCGCCAAAGAATTGAATCATATTTGCTAAGTGTTCTTCAATTTTTTTTTTTTTTTTTTTTTTTTTTTTTCAGAGGAGTACCTTGAGTACTTCTATCCAACTCCTTACTCGGTTGTTTTTGGAAATAACGAAAAAACCTATGACCGCGTCACACCAAATCGATGTGCCAGAAATTGTTTGGAAGAAACATCAATTGTGTGTCGCTCATTCGATTATCAAGTAAGTTAACTTTTTCTTTTTATTTGTCAAGTGTACGTCTTGAGCCTGGAAAACGGGGTTTTGTATTTAAATATTTCGTTTTTTTTTTGGGGGGGGGTTCTTTTCCCGCCCGTCCTCCATTTTACTTTCGCCTCTCGTCTTCATGTCTTGAGGTCTTTTCTTTCTTTCTTTCTTTCTTTCTTTCTTTCTTTCTGTTCCTTCCCTTCATTCTTACGTCTTTCCCTCATTATTTTCATATTCCAGTTTCGTTTTTCTTTACTTTCTTTATTTCTTTTTTTCTTTCACCCTTTCTTTAAATTTTTTCTATCTTTCCTTTTTTTATTCTCTTTTCTTTTTCTTCTTTCTTTCTTTCCTTTCTTTCTTTTTTCTTCTTTTCATTCTTCTTTTTTTTAATTTCATTCCGTCGTTCTTTCATTATTTTCATATTCTCTTTTCCCTTTTTCTTTTCTTTTTTCATTCCTTCTCTCATTTCTTTCTTTCCTATAATTCTTTCATTCTCTTTTTCATTCATTTTCTACCGTCTTTTTTCCTTCATTACTTTCATTCTCCCTTTTCTTTGCCTTTTTTTATTCCTTCTTCAGTTTCTGTTTCCCCTTTTTTACCTTCATTCTCTCCTTCTTTCCATTCTTCATTTTCATTCCTTCATCCCTTCCTTCCATACATATCTTTTCTTTCAATTTCGTTTCTTTTCCTTCCTGTAGTCCATTTTAATTTTCGCCATCCGTCATTTCTTTTTCTTTCTTGCTCCTTTCTTTCTTTCTTTCTTTCTTTCTTTCTTTCTTTTTCTTCCCTTCCTCCTTACTTTCCTTCCGTCTTTCTTTCTTTCTTTCTTTACTTTCCTTCTTTTTTTCTTTTTCTCTTTCTTTCTGTTTTTTTTTTCCTTCTTTCCACTCACCATTTATTTTCCCTCCATTTATTTTTCCTTATACAATCCGTTGCTAAAGATGCCGGAAAAATTCCGCGTCTCCATTCTATCGCTCATCCAGCAACTGCTTGGCACCTTCTACCATTCTTTATCTTTGCAAGACTCAGATTAGACCAAAACTGAACTCTTACTGGAATGGAACTGCTCAATTCTCCCATTTCTGCCTTGATTAATTTCTCTGAATTTCTGGGATAAGATATTATCATTATTCACTACTGTTCGCAACTTTGTTGCTATTACAACGTATCACGACGTTTCGGCCTTCATCAGGAGCTTGTTCGATCCGGGTATAATTCAAGGAATTACGAAATGAACTCTTTGTTTAATCTACGGGTGTAGTCTGTTCTCTTTCCACTGCCCATGTATAGGGACATCTCATCTTGTTCTTACTTTTAATTGCTCACCCTATCTCCTCTGAGTTTAAGTACACACTGCCCAGCCCAGGGATAGAACTCACATTTACCGTGTCACCAAAATCACGAACTAACGGTTTAATCCACTATTTCACGTAGTGATTGTGAGTTCAATCTCTGTGCTCGGCAGTGTGCAGTGGGATTCAGTTGAAATTTTTCCCTTTCTTCTTTAGGATTTTCTTTAAATTCATTCAGTATTTTCTTCATTTTTTTCATATTCTCTTTTCTTTTTTCTTCTTTCCATTCTTTCTTCCTTTCATCTTTTCTTTAAATTCTTCCGTCTTTCCTTCATTATTTTAATATTCTCATTCTTTCCTTCCTTCCCTTTTTCTTTCTTTCTTTCTTTCTTTCTTTCTTTCTTTCTTTCCTTTCTTTCTTTCTTTCTTTCACCCTTTCTTTGAGTTCTTTCCGTCAGTATTTTCTTATTCACTTTCCTCCTTCTTTCCAGTCTTTCTTTTTTTTCTTTCTTTCTTTCTTTCACCTTTTCTCTAAATTCCTTACGTCTTTCTTTCATTATTTTCATACTCTCCTTTCTTTCTTTTTTCTTCTTTTCATTCACCCTTTCTTTAAACTCCCTTCGTCTTCTCCTTCAGTATTTTCTCATTTCTTTTTCCTTCTCTCCATTCTATCTCACTCTCTCTTTCTTTCACCTTTTCTCTAAATTCTTTACGTCTTTCCTTCATTGTTTTCATATTCTCCTTTTCTTTCTTTCTTTCTTTCTTTCTTTCTTTAAATTCATTCCTTCATTCTTTCATTTTCTTCTTTATTTTTTCTTTTCTTCTCCTTCCTACCTTCTTTCCTTCCTTTCTTTCCTTCATTGCTTTTTCATTTCATTTTCTTTGCCTTCTTCTTTCATTTCTTTTTCAGTTTCAGTTTCCCTCTTTACCGTCATTCTTTCCTTCTTCATTTTTCTTCCTTCTTCCCTTCCTTCCTTCCTTCCATGCATACCTTTTCTCTCTCTCTCTCTCTCTCTCTTCTTTCTTCCTTATTTTTCACTTTTCCTCTTTTCTTGGTAATGTTTTATTCGAATCACGAACTGAAATATGAAAACATGTTTTTTCTTAACACGATTCTATTAAATACGTCACGTATTTTTTTCTCTCGTCTTGTAAATGAACTCCTGAAGCGCACTTTAAAAAAAATCTTCTTTTTTTTTCAAATTAGTCTATTTGTAAAGGTCATCGGACATGTTAGCAGTAACAAGATTTCAAGTCTGATTCTCGAATATAATTTGCCATTAAATGTGGCCTACATTTGCATAACAAGCAGCCCTATAAAAAATACAGAAAAAGCTCCATTTCTTGAATTTGTAAAACTATATCCATAGAAACAACAAAAAAAAAATACCGAAAATGGATTAAAATATGATAATGCTTGATGTAATGTGAGACAATCCAATACTTTTTTAAAATCTGATGTAAATATTTCATAAATTTAATAAAGGCTGATATTTCATAAATTTCATCAATATAGGACAGATATTTCTTAAATATAAGGCAGATATTTCATAAAATTCATAAATCTAAGACAGATATATTTCATAAGTTTCCCTAATCTAAGATATTTCATAAATTTATGGCATATATTTCATAAATTTTATAAATCTAAGGCATATATTTCATAAATCTAGGGCAGATATTTCATGAATTTCATAATTCTAATCCACAAGTTTCATAAATTTCATAAATCTAAGCCATATATTTCATAAATTTATGGCAGAATTTTCGCTAATTTCATAAATCTAGTACAGATATTTCTTAAATATAAGGCAGATATTTCATAAATTTCATAAATCTAAGGCAGATATTTCATAAATCTAGGGCAGATATTTCATGAATTTCATAATTCTAATCCACAAGTTTCATAAATTTCATAAATCTAAGACATATATTTCATAAATTTATGGCAGAATTTTCGCAAATTTCATAAATCTAGTACAGATATTTCTTAAATATAAGGCAGATATTTTATAAATTTTATAAATCTAAGAGATATATTTCATAAATTTTCTAAATTTAAGTCAAATATATCATAAATCTTTGGCCGATATTTCATAAATTTCATAACTCTAAGCCACATATTTCATAAATTTCCTAAATATAAGCCATATATTTCATGAATCTATGGTAGATATTTCACAAATTTCATAAATCTAAGGCAGATAATTGATAAATCTAGGACAGATATTTCATAAATTTCATAAATCTAAGGCAGATATTTCATAACTTTATAATTATTTACGCTTTCTTTTTCTCCACTCACTAGCCATAACTGAGAAGATTTCGCCCAACAATTACACAAAAAAGTTCGTTCCACTTTTATTTTCCTAATATCATGGATTCTTGCTGTCATATTTGGGCTTGTTTGGCTCAGTTCCAATTTCTCAGCTTTGTTAGAGTTCAAATACGTTTACGTGATTTTGTAGAGGGGCTGCTTGTCTTCCCCACAGACCCAACGTCGCAAGCCAATCGCGACTTTGTCGCTATTTCCATTGCAAATCTTCAAATGGACACCTTGTTTTATTTCCACTAGCTCAGACCTTCAAATCGAAGACATGCTATACAAATACAAATAAAAAAATAACATTAATGGCTAAGTACTTTTCAGGCCATCAATCACTCATTCTGCTTACAGAGGGATGGCTGGTAGGACTTAATGCATAGAGATTCAAAAACTTTCACGTAATAATGCCCATTGCAAATGTTCAAATGGGCACCTTTCTTTAATTTCACTAGCTCAGACCTTCGCTTATTTGCTCTGTCTAGGCGTTGAGTCCTTTACCGCGTAGGTTGGTGTCTGCTTTTTGTTTTTCTTTTATTTTTCTGTCTTTGTTAGGGATTTTTTATCTAAGTCGTTAGTCTTCTGGCGAGGTGTCTGTTGGCACACACACACACACACACACACACACACACACACACACACACACACACATATATATATATATATATATATATATACCGAGTGTAACAGTAAAATTGTCCAAATCGTGTAACATCAAAATTGTCTAATGGTTAGATTAAGCTTTGAACCGTTGTATCTTAGAAATGATTAAAGATATCTTACTGGAATTCTACGAGGTTTTTATAACACTATCGACTCTACTTTGAGTAATAAATGTATAGTTACCTTCGAAGCTTAACAGAAGTATTGTGATGAAATCGGTCAGAAACAAACAATGATATGTTTATTAATTAATTATTAAACATATTCAAGATGATTTTCGCCCTCTCTAATCATCCAAATACACAATTATATCATTATGTTTATATGAACTTTTATCATATATATATATATATATATATATATATATATATATATATATATATATAATGAAATGGACCAAGTCCGACAATTATTTTAAGATATTTTTATGTTTATACATTCTTTTTATATTAAAAATGTTATAAATACTGTTTATTATAAAAACAGAGCATTTAATTAAATATTTCTATCTATAAAAGAATGTTTAAACATAAAAATGTTTTAAAATATATATATATATTATAATTATTTTCTATTTTAAATATATGGTTATATCGCTACACAGGAATTAATTTATAATTTTATACACAAAGATTTCTTAAAAGGGTTGTCTGAATATGAGTAAGTCGTATTCTTACGATTTAAAATCTATTCCTACAAATTTAAAGTACTTTTCTACTTCTAATAAGTAATAGACTATACGTTATTTTTTTTACAAATAAATATATTAGAATTACATTCGTATTTAAAAAAATTATTAATCAAAGATCAAGTATAAACATGTTTCATCTTTCATCACTTTTTTAAAATTAATCATTATTTAAGGAAAATATCTGACAGTGCCTGCAAAAAGTAGCTACTTCATTTCTTTGATTAAGTATTTTTTTATATTCAGAAACTTAATAATGTACAATTTTTTCATGTATTTAATAAAGGGCATAGGTTATTTAATGATCTACAAAAAAGCTCTTCTTATTAATTTCCATTTTACTGTTAATACTTCGATTTCCAATAAAACCTTTATTCAAATATATATATATATATATATATATATATATATATATATATATATAAATATATATATATATATATTTGTTATTTTTTTATGGGTTTTTAAGTGCCAAGCGTAAATTTGGTAATCCATAAATATTTTGCAAAACATAATGAAGGCTCTAGAAGAAATATATATATTTATTTTGATATATATAACTCAAACACTTCCTTGCAGGAAAAAAAAGTTATATATATATCAGTTATATATTCATGAAATATATATAATATAATAAGCGTCTATCACGCATTGAGGAACTGACTCTGAGTCGAATCCATTCCAAAACAATTCACTTACGTGCTAATACCCTTGGGAAAGGTATGAATCCTCTTCTTCTCTATATTTATTTATTAACACAAACAAAACAATTTATTATAATTTATATAAAAAGGAGGCACTGTGGAGTAATGGATAGCCGCTGGATTGAGGAATCAGATATCAAACAGTCGAATCCATTACATTCACTTACGTGCTAATACCCTTGGGAAAGGTATGAATCCTCTTCTTCTCTCCAGATTTATTTATTAACACAAACAAAACAATTTATTATAATTTATAATAAAAAGGAGGCACTGTGGAGTAATGGATAGCCGCTCGGATTGAGGAATCAGAGAGCCGAGTTGAATTCCAGTCGAATCCATTACATTCACTTACGTGCTAATACCCTTGAGGAAAGGTATGAATCCAGATTTATTTATTAACACAAACAAAACAATTTATTATAATTTATAATAAAAATTTTTTTCAAACTGTGGAGTAATGGATAGCCGCTCGGATTGAGGAATCAGAGAGCCGAGTTCGAATTCAGTCGAATCCATTACATTCACTTACGTGCTAATATTTGGGAAAGGTATGAATCCTCTTCTTCTCTCCTGATTTATTTATTAACACAAACAAAACAATTTATTATAATTTATAATAAAAAGGAGGCAAATGGAGTAATGGATAGCCGCTCGGATTGAGGAATCAGAGAGGAGAGTTCGAATTCCAGTCGAATCCATTACATTCACTTACGTGCTAATACCCTTGGGAAAGGTATGAATCTCTTCTTCTCTCTGATTTATTTATTAACACAAACAAAACAATTTATTATAATTTATAATAAAAAGGAGGCACTGTGGAGTAATGGATAGCCGCTCGGATTGAGGAATCAGAGAGCCGAGTTCGAATTCAGTCGAATCCATTACATTACTTACGTGCTAATACCCTTGGGAAAGGTATGAATTTTCTTCTTCTCTTTCAGATTTATTTATTAACACAAACAAAACAATTTATTATAATTTATGTTTAAAAGGAGGCACTGTGGAGTAATGGATAGCCGCTCGGATTGAGGAATCAGAGAGCCGAGTTCGAAATTCAGTCGAATCCATTACATTCACTTACGTGCTAATACCCTTGGGAAACTTTGAATCCTCTTTAAAATCTTGATTTATTTATTAAACAAACAAAACAATTTTTTATAATTTATAATAAAATTTATGCAAATTGTGGAGTAATGGATAGCCGCTCGGATTGGGGAATCATAGAGCCGAGTTCAAATATGTTCGAATCCATTAATTATACTTACGTGCTAATACCGCTTAGGATAAGGTATGAATCATCTTCTTCTCTAAAATGATTTATTTATTAACACAAACAAAACAATTTATTATAATTTTATAATAAAAAGGAGGCACTGTGGAGTAATGGATAGCCGCTCGGATTGGGGAATCAGAGAGCCGAGTTCAAATTCAGTCGAATCCAATACATTCACTTATTTGTATAATATGGGAAAGTTATGAATCCTCTTCTTCTCTGAAGAGTTTATTAACACAAACAAAACAATTTATTATAATTTATAATAAAAATTGGCACGAATAGTAATGGATAGTCGCTCGGATTGAGGAATCAGACCGAGTTCGAATTCAGTCGAATCCATTTACATTCACTTACGTGCAAAAGAATTGGGAAAGGTATGAATCCTCGACATTCTCTCCTGATTTA